TAGCGATGATTCTTTAGTTGGTCCCTCAGTCTGTGTGGATGTGTGATGCTCTGTTCTGGACGAGTGAATGCTCTGTAGAGATAAGAGTTTCGCCCTTGTTTCAGGGGAGAGGGCCGGTAGGAGGGTGCTGAGGAGTCCGATAATACCCTGGGAATCTGCAGTGTTCTCCCGACCCAGCCCAGGGACATGGAGGGGGGTCAGGAAGTTCAACACTGCAGGAAAGGCCACATCTGCTTAATCGCCTTCGTGGGTACGCACACAACTCTCTCCGCCTCTCTCAGCTCGACTTCCACCCTCTCGTAAGGCGAGAAAATCTCGAAATACTTAAGGCTTCCAGATGCTAATCATGACCATAATCATGCGTCCCCCCCTCATTCTCCTCTCCCTCTACAATCTCCCCCTCAATCTCGATCAGCTCTCGATCCTCCCCACTCGCATCTCCACAACACCCCCATCGTCAGTCTTCTTCCTCTCTGTATTTGAAACCTCCGATAAGGGACCCTCTGAATAGGGTCACTCTCTACAAGGGCCACTTTTTCACCCCATGCTAATACTAAAATAGTGTCCTCTCTCTCCTCTCCCACAACTCTGGCGGTGCCACCAGGTGAGAACTGGTACCAAGGGACCGGAGCATTCAAAGGGATGAGGGCCAAGACTGCTCCAAACCCACCTAACCAAAGTCAAGTATCCTCTGTGTGAGGTACCCGTAGATCGGTACCGGCCAAAAAGTTTCTGAAAGAAGACATATTTCGGCGGTCCATAAGAGACTAATTGGTCAAACGTACATTCTCCTTTATTCTGCCCTCGCACCACTCCCAGAAATAAACTTAGTGGTAATACCCATCTGGCAAACATAGTTAAGTAGGAATTAATAGTTTAAATAGTTTCTTTTAAATGAAAAGGTAACATTTTGTATTCATGTTTAAAGGATCTAGTGCCAGGTAGTCATATATGGCATACTAGTATTTGAGGATTAGCTAGCATCAATTTTGTTGATAAGTGTATTTTCAAAATGATAAAATGTTGGTGAGCATAAAGGTATTGTAAAGCCCTACTGGAAGCATCTGGTGTAATGTTGTTTTGAGTGCAGATCGCCCTGCAAACCATAAACGTGAAGCCATTCATCATATCCGATCCGAGAGGACTCGCACGCAGATTGCAGCCCACCTCACCAACTCTTTTGAAACTGAACCAACATAGAACTTCTCCCAAAACTAACCAGCAGAGTGGCGGTCGTCTAAACTTCTTCGGAACGACACAAATTTCGGGAAGATTGTCACGAACCTTGACCATCTAATTGCTGGCGGAGGTTCATAGAGGTAATGTAATTTCCAGCTAAGTCGAACCGAACCAGCACCCATTTTGACTCAAACCCACGAACCCCCCCGCAGGTGAATTTTGGATGTTGTCACGACGATGTGTATGGATGTACCTGAAAACCTCACAGGCGTGTTTTGCACTAAGTTAAAAGTTCAATCCATTGTCGGGGATAGTACGTCGACCGACATTCAGATCTACTTGCGGGATAGTAATATGCCGCCGCATATCCACGTCTACATGCGGATTAGTACGTAGACGTGCATTCACTCTACATGCGGGATAAGATAAGTAGCTGCATTCCTGCTCCATGCGGGCTTAGTAGCATGCATTACACTCTACATTAGTTCAAATGGCGGATAGTACAGTAGCCGCATTCACACTCTACATTAGTAATACAAATTGCGGGATCGTAATTAGCCGCAGTCACTCACAATTAGTATCAACTTGCGGGATAGTAAGTAGCCGCATTCACGTCTCACATTAGTAATCAAAACTTGCGGATAGATAAGTGCCGCATTCACTCTAACATTATTATCAAACTTGCGGGATAGTAAAGTAGCCGCATTTCACATCTCTAACATTGTATCAAACTTGCGGGATAGTAATAGCCGCATCACCTCTACATTACGTAATCACATTGGTCGTGATAGCTAATAGCCCATTCACTCTACATTAGTATCAAACTTGGCGGGATAGTAAGTAGCCGCATTCACTCTACATTAGTATCAACTTGCGGATAGTAATAGCCCCGACATTATCACTCTAACATTAGTTATCAAACTTGCAAAACACTCTGTTGTATGTAGCATGGTCATTATGGTTGTTTTGCGGGTGGGGCCGCTGCAAGGAGCAGAACAGTAAACGTTAACTCATTCCTTGGCCATTGTTTCTGGCTCTGTCCAAAACCTGCTTCTCGAGGATAAACTAACTGACGTGGAAGGTACACAACTGATCAATGCCCCACACAAATACTACATGTCCTACCTCGTCCCCACAGGAGCTGGCTCCCAAGATGAATAGGAGGTCAGACTCGTTCGAGAGCGAAACGCGATCACTGACCCGTCACGGAACCAGACGGTACTCAGAGCATACCAGAGAAATTGTCACGCCCGTGGTCCCCTTTCATAGCCTCTCGTCATGAGTGAGCCAAGGGGATCAAATCTCCTGGTATCCCTCTCTCCACTCTCTCCTGATTTGGAAACTTCATCAATTGACATTTTGGTATCTCTGCAGACATGGCGTTTCTTCTCCATGAATGGAACGAGAACTATGATGAGGGTCTGGTCAAAACTTTAACAAGATGGTGAAGTGAGGAAGATGGATCCTCCCCCATCTCTCCAGCCGCGGTACCAAAGAATCCTCACCACCTCATAAGACGGACTGTCTGGCTGAGAAGAAGGTGAGTCGCTGGTAGATTTGAGTTCAGGACTGGCGTCTCCCGTAACGATGTCTTTCTCCTTGCCACAAGAACCCTGAACTCCCACAAGTACATCAGGTGAGTTTCCCTTACCCCACCTTATCTCAATCCTGCTGTTCCCTCATCTCAGGGAATTATCAGGTGGTGATAACCCAATCAACGACGCTCTCAACCCACATCAAGGCTGTCCTCATGAGGTCGCGAAGCCGACTGGTCCGTACCCTCCTCAGTACATAGCACAGCGTCCCCACCATCAATCATCCTATCTGTTCTACCTCTTGTGGTGACATCACAAGAGACACATCCTTCTGTCTCCATGTCTGTAACTAAATCATTATCCTTCTCATATTTCTGTTTCTCTTCACTTATAAATATTATAATGCCTTTATAATTTTTTTTAAAACACAAATCATTAATTTTGTGGTGTATATGCCATGTACAAATTATCAGCATTAAGCATTTCATCACTAAGCACAGATGAGTTTAAAAAAAACCGAGTCATTTGGTTCGATTTTGGTGTCGTTGCAGCCCCAAAATTGGATGAGTTGACATCAGATGATGTAAATCAAATAGCCGTAGGTCTGGAGAGAAGGCGATGGTAGAGGAGAGGACCTAAGGAGGTACTGACCAGCTTTGTCCCGAGTGTAGGCCACGCCCTTTCTTCCCTTGACATGTCCGTAGACCAGACCACAAGCTCTGCTGGCAAAGAAGCACGCCTCCTCCTCCAGAAGCCCAGCCCTCTCCTCAAAATCCGTCTGTTGTGTCCACAGCCTCTTCTGCCTTGTTCTTCTTCTGGCAGCTGCTGTCCATACGAACTTTAATCCCTGCTTTTCCTGTGAGGCGTTGCTATAGAAAATAAAAGCACAGAAAAAACGTGACGAACATCACCGCGTGATGTAAGGCGCACAGAGCAGCATTTTTTCTTGAGGGAAGGAAGCCGGCGTTTCCTATCCCGAATGACAACCCACTGGGCATAAGAGCTCCCAATGCATAAGTGTGGATAGAGAATTGATCTGGCGGGAGGATGTACGGGTATAGAATCAGAAGAAGGGTTACGAAGGAGTTGTGACAATTTCAAACGTTGGGTCTGAATAAAAACTACTATGGATGCTCCAAAGTTACGGCCACTGTCACAATTTTGTCATGGGAGTTTCACACTCAGCCTCACAGTATTATCATGATGACTGGGAGAGAAAAAACTGTACAACATGGAAAGTAGTTTGCACGACCTCACTGCTTGCACTCGCAGTCTGCTCCCTCAAAGAAACAATCTTGTCCCCACGTCGTAGATCAAAGCTCTTTTCCTCTGGAAGAAGAGATGGGGGGACCATAATTTAGAGCTGTTCTAGTGCCGTAATAGTGACGTCACCATGAAACTTAATCTTATATACACCCTTGCACTATCCAGGCACTAACGACAATTATGGACTGTGGTCTCCTTCCCACCCCCCGGCTGTGAAACTGTTGCGGCAGTGGAAAACTGTCCAATCTACCCACCATCAAGTCCACAAAGTCAACGACAATGTGTAGCAATCACCGGAATGGTCCCACATTTCTGGGAAGCGACTGGAGACCCACCTAGCCAACCTGGTGGTATCCGGTGGGGAGAGGGCGGCAGGAGGCACGCAACGGAGGAGGACACAGAACCAGGAAATTGGTCCGAGGATCGGCTTTGACATGCCTCCACTAAGTAGTTGATGCTAGGTTTCCACATGAGGCTATAAAACTGCATATGAAAAGAGTATCAGAATTAATCATTTGTTACCATCACCCTTCTCATGTAAATAAATCTTATGATATATTTTGTTGTCATTTCCTGTCTAGCCAGCTGGCTTTCACCCACCAACTTACCCTCCCTGTACACATCAGTTTGTTTCAGTACACCGCATACAACTGGAAGGGGGATCCACACCACCTAGATACATACGATCCCCCTTCACGGCACGACAGGTGGCGGGGCTTGGCTGTGTGTGTGTCGCTTCTCACCTTCTTCGTCAATACACGTAGAAGAGCATGAAAGAGGTGACTGAGATGACAAAAGGAGGACCGGAGAGTAGAAAAATCCAAGCTCCCCTGCCCACAGAGACAACACAAGTAAATTGATCCAGACAAAATTGCACCAAATTTACACAAAAGCGTCGTCCATGTCTATACATGCAGCACGAAGACACTGAGATGCGCCTGTGTGTGTAGTGGAGAGCAGCATCCCAGAGGAGGGCCTGGTGGATAGATGAGATCCAGGATGCTCTGGCCATGTTGAAGTTTGCCTTTCCCCACTCGCTGACTGCACACCTTGTACGCAGCCTACTCATCACACTCACAGCACGAGAGATCGCTGTCACACAACACCACGGCTTATAGTATACACACCGTTCTACAAATAGACTCCTCATCCGTATGGTTTTACAGTACGAGCGCAAATACTGTGTTTGGGTGGATTGCACTACACACAGCAGACGTACGACCAGACTGACGACTTCTATCTCGTTTCCCACACGGTAAGAGTAGTGATGGCAAGAGAGTGCACAGTTCACCGACCTAACTTGTACAACTCCGCCAACAAATGTCTCCCAGCACTATGAGAAGATGAGGAGAGCTAGCCGCTGACTCATATGAATCAGACACAGGCCTTGGAGCAAGTCAATGTACCTGTGGACAGTTCTCTCTCTGGCCTGCGAGGTTCACTTCTGGGGCCCATGTCGATGTCCGGGACACTGAACTGACAAGTTCCTTCTCTCTCTGCCGGCCTCCTCCTCTTCTTCTTCCCTCCCTCCACTCCAAATGTTGGGTACCCTGAGAGGGATTACATCATAGGCACCATAAACAAAGTATTGGAGTGAGTAGTGATGACGTCATGGGACTCACAGAGATGAGGATGAAGAGAGTGACGAAGAGGACGATGAGGGAAGACAGGCGGACAATGATGGCTCTAATTAGAGTCATCCTGATCTCCCCACTCTGTGTCTTGAACCTCTCAAACCTGCAGTCACAGTCAGTCACAATGACGTGTGGTAATCAAACCAGCATTCACTCAGTCAGAAAGTGTGCCTTAACCACAAAATTATCAAGAGAGTAAGATTTGATAATTTCGTATACAAAATAATTGTCCTGTTCACAAATTTTACTTCAGTTGGCTCTGAAACTGTCATTCTAGTAGATTTTATGCTCCACAGTATAAATACAAGTTCCAAACCATTCTGGCTGGTGAACACAATCCTAGTGACTGTGTCAGTGGAGGACTCTGACCTGGCCAGGAAGGAGAAGAGGATGGGGAGGGAGATGTTGAAAGCCGTGAAGACAATTGGCAGAACAAAACCCTCCCAGTTGCAGACTCTCTCCTGACAGTTGCTGGAAAAAAAACATGGAGCATTTTTCAAAGTGGGGGAAGGAAAGGTAGGGGGGACTTAACTCTGGACACAAGACTAGAGAAGATATCTTTACGCTAGAGAATCTATTGTTGTCACGAGAGGAAAATATGGGAGCAAAAATGGTCTGAATTATAGGATGGATTTTCCGGCCTCATTTCACTCCAGTTGTGCCTACTACAAGAGACTCACACTGTCGAGACCAAGTTGGGCGGCCATGAAAATGGCGACACCGGCTCCAATGAGGATGAGCAAGACGGAGAGGTTGGTGAGTGTCCGAATCAGAATGACAAGAGCGATCTCCCTGTTATCCCTCTTTTGACTCCTCTTCTCCAGGTCTGCTATGTCTTCCTGCACACCAGAGAGAGGGAGGGAGATGAGGATATCATGCCTACGCATTCTTCAACTCATCAATTGGGTGTCATCCCATAATCATATTACAAGGATCAGCAGCTAGCTTTCACATTCCAGAGATGTCCAGCAGCAAAGGAGAGAAGATGGAACTCTCTTCATGCCATGTTGGGAGAGCCACAGTTATTCAGGTGCTGGCCCTGGGACACCCTAGCCACTGTGATACCTTCCGACTACTCATCAAACAATCACACCAGCTGCCATTCCATACATTCCATTTGGGGGTCTCCATGGCACTCATTATATTATTATCAAAGAAGCAGAGTTATGGATAATTATGCTCCAACACCAAAGCCACTAAACTATACTAATTGCTTGACCAAGACTGTATGGCGAGATAGGGTACTGGGGCGAGATGGGGGACAGACAAAGATAGGAGAAAGATAAGTGGAAAAATGAAATGCAGAAGCGAGATTAGGGGAATGATGGAATGATAAGAGCCAAGAAGGGTAGAGACCAATCAATTGTCATGGTAACAGACCTCTATCTGTCTCTTGATCTGTGCCCTGCGTAGTTTGGCGGTGGAGTGGTCGGTGACGCTGAACTCCCAACTGGAGAACAGCTTGTTGCAGTAGTTGATGGTCTGACGTCTGCTCAACTGCAGGTTAGACTCATTGTATGCCTGACCCATTCTGACACAGAGAGAGAGAATATGCAGTTTACAATTGAACCAAAACCAGCTCCATACACGTTAGTCCATATGTATTAGAAAACTGATTCGAACTCTATATTGAATGAATGGTAGTGAATAGAACCGAGATAGAGATGTCTCACTTGTAAACGAGGAGGACGACAGAGATAAGAAAGACGGATCCGGTCAGGAGAATGTAGGCCACGGGAAGGTCGTATCTGGTTCCACCCACCACCTCCACCGTCTCGTTGGTATAGCGACCTTGGAACAGGACGGTGTCGTTGAAGATTCCTCTCCCCAGGGCAAAGTCAAAGATATACTCGTACCACTGGACCACAGGGTCAACACCTGGACACATTAGTGGATCTCCACTCCTGTGTAGCTGGGAGGGGAGGGGAATGGAGGAGAAGGATAAAAGATAAGTGAGTGCGAGTTTCGGACTAACTCGGTGATATTGAAGCAAGTTGTGAGGTCAGACACTGATCTGGTGGGACTGGCTCTGTCAGCTACTAGTGTTCCGTTCTCCCCTGTTTGAAACTGGCACTGACCAACATCGAACCTTCCCTCCCTCTCATCTGCCTCTCCTCCGCGACACAACAGTCGGCCACCGTACCTCACCAAATCATTGGGTGCCGGGGGACCAGAGAGTAGAAATTCACCAGGGGGCCCCCCGTCGCTGCAGATTTGAGGGGAACCAGATGTGTTGAGAGGGAAGACACAGGCCAGCTGGGAGGGTGTGCGTGGGGCGTTGGTACCAGAGACCCACACCAGCTGGGGGATGACGGCCAGCCCGAACCAGAGGAGGAAGATGAAGAGATTCATTAGAAACAGCCAGCGGAGGAAGATGAAGTAAGACACCACGGCCGTCCCGAAGTGACCCTCGACCTCTTTCAGGTGTCCGTTCCACAGCTCATACCCAAACACTACTCGCAGTCGACTCTTGATCTTCGGCCAGTGCTGGAGGTCAGAGGTCGTATGAGGAACGGGAGTGGGGTTAGGGGTATGGACTCACGACGTTGATGAAGAGCTGCCAGACGTTCCTTCGGGTGTACTGTGGCCTGTGAGCCACCGTCCGATGACTGGGGAAAGAGAAGAGAGGAGGAGAGGGGTTAATTAATGTGTGTACAACATACTCACTGCAGTGCAATGCGGTCCTCCAGCCGGCGAGAGGACTGCCGCAGGTTGCCAAAGTTGACCGTTAGTTCTTCCCATTGCTCGTATCTGTTCACTCCCGTCAGAGAATTGGCTCTGCGCACGCGCACTGGAGACTCGCTCCTCTCTCGGCCGCCTCAGCTGGAGACTGCGGTACCTGGCCGCCTCTCTCTGAAACGGGGTCTGCTCCTCTCCTCCCTCTCCGTCAGCGGCAGTGGTCTTCCTTACCACCTGTCTCTTCTTCTTGATAGAGAGCTCTCTCCCCAGTCTCACTGAGGGCCTCGTAGGCACACCGCCTCCTTCCTCGGCAGCAGCTCGTCTCGCGGGAGAGGCTGGGGCGACCTCTACCAGCTCCAATGGCGGGTACGAGACCACGTCTTCCTCAACCTCTGTAGCCATAGCTCTGCGTCTATCACCAGTCTCTTGCTCCTCTCGTTGTGCTGGCGAGGGCCGCTGATTAGCACAGTCTGCAATGCAGCCTTAGCTTGCTCATTATGTACATACTTCCGCCCGGAAACAATGCTAATTCGAGTCAAAAATAAACATTTCTGGCATACCATAACTACAAAATATGTATAATTATACACTAAAATAATGCGTGTGCACACTCAAGATAAAAATAACAACATGTGCAATGAGAGGCAAGGTCCAGCTAAAGAGAGGTGTTCAAGAGTCGATGTATAGCTCTGGATTAGTAAAGGAGAACCCTTCGAAGGCTCCAGGGTCGATGGCTGCAATGATGTTGGCGTCCACGGGGCTGAGTCTGCAAGGCTCCTTAGTGAAACTCTGGGTCAAAGTTATCGTGGTTCTTCTTGCCTTTCTGGAGGGGGAAAAAAAGAAAAATATCACACTACCGGGAGTAAGGTCTGAGAAAGGAAAGCAGTGTTAGTGGGAAGTGGATTGATGAGGTTAGATCTGTGCTTGATCTGCTCATGTAGTTGGAGTGAAGGCTCTGTGAGTGTTAGTTCTATGGCTACGGTATAACACTATGACTGGGTGTGAGAGGGTGGGGCTAACATTCTTTGGTCGATACGGAGGCTTCACTTCTTTCTTGGCTAGCTTGTCCCAGTCCATGTTCTTGAAGAAGGGCTGTGACTTGATCTGATCCACTCCTGCCTCCGGGTGACTGCCCAGTCGCTTGGTGGCATTCTTGATCAGAAACTGAGGGAGAGAGAGAGAGTAGCTGGCAGGGTTCCAGCTAGGTGGGGACTTACTCCTGAAATGATCTTCCTGCAAGGTTCAGACAAGCCTCGAGGATAGTGAACCGGCTTCTGGACAATGTTCATGAACAATTGGTCGTCATCTTCTCCGTCAAATGGTGGCTGCAGTAATGAGAGGGACGGTTCTAATTAAAGGGAAACAGTTAGTTTTCTGTTGACAGACAAGTTACCACACAAAAGGCAAGAAGCCAGACTATAATATAGCTCTACAAGCAAGTGATACTTCCTGTAACTGTAACAATAGCAAGTCTTTGTATGTAAACACACTGCATACTATATGTAAACACACTGCATACTAACGTAACATCATAACGATGTAACCACTACGCAGGAATCCTGGTGAGGGAATCAAGTATGTACTCCACATAGCAGAGGGACATGCCACTTACTCTTCCAACCAACATCTCGTAGATGAGGACACCCAGAGCCCACCAGTCAACAGCTGCATCATACGGATGATACTGAATGATCTGAGAGAGAGAGAGAGATGAGATGAGAGATGAGAGAGAGAGATTGGTACAATTCCTGGTGTTATCTTTAACACTCAGTCAGCCACAAGAGAGAGAGAGAGACAAAATGGACAGCAACTGTAGTGATTTGCAAATGGATCCACTGTTGTGAGGCAGGGCCAAAAAAGAGTGCAGCATAATTTGCATGGAGGATGAGGAATTAAAGAGGGTCTTTGGGTGGAGAATGGCGAATTAAGGCAGGGCAAATATTGAAATAAGGCCAAGCCACAGAAATAGTTGGAGATAGAGACCAGTTGACAGTAAGAGGGAACTGACAACCAGAGGTGTTCTAGGAATGTTGTACTTGAAGAAGGGGAGACAGCTCTAGGTGGAGCCAAACTTGAACGATATAACTGCTAGTTTGACAATAGAACGAAGTTTCTGATTTAAAGGTGGGGGAAGAGGGCTCAAGGGTGAAAGAAATCCCCCCTCTTACGTACAGAACTCTGTTATTACCTCAGGAGCAATGTAGTCTGGAGTGCCACAGAAGGTCCTGGCTTTTGAGCTGCCAGAGATGCCGTCCTTGCAGAGACCAAAGTCGGCAATCTTGACGTGTCCGTCCGAGGCCAGGAGAACATTGTCCAGTTTGAGGTCTCTGTAGATGATGCCCAGGTCGTGGAGGTACAGCAGACCCAGCACTATCTCCGCCGCGTAGAACCTGCGAAGAGATAGAGGGGAGGGGAGAGGGGGAGAAGGAACAAACAAGGAGTCTATAGCCAATACACACTAACATTGTAAGTGTAACTCTGATCAAGTCAACATCTAACAGAGCCCACTAATTTTTAAAATTGTGTCATACTGTTTCGCAGTACATCCAATAAGTAGGAGGGAGAAAGGAGAGAAGGGAGTCAGGGGAGAGGGAGGCCCACCTGGTCTGACTTTCAGAGAACCGGCCCAGTTCCAGGATGTGGAACATGAGGTCTCCTCCACTGACGTACTCCATGACAAAGAAGAGGTGTTCCTCAGTCTGGAAGCAGGAGTGGAGGTTGATGAGGAATGGAGGCTTGCTCTGCAGTGCCAGCACTTTCCTCTCGTTGAGAGTGCACTCCACATCGTCCTCCTGCACAATCAGGTCCTTCTTGAGACTCTTGATGGCATACACCTCCTTCGACTCCTTGTGCTCCGCCAGGAACACCTGCACACAGTGTAGTACACGTGACACACAGCAGCAATAACAATTATCAGTAGATGCTAAATTATGGCAGAAAAAAATACAATTATCACAGAGATTCACAGATTCGGGGATACATACTACGTATGTAAGTGTCCCCAACCACATAATATCATGCAGGGAACTGCGAGTTTCCTGCCATACATCCACTGAATGTATCAGTTTGACAATTTGTGAAATGAGACTGCCTCTGTTTTGAGGCTAACCTTCCCGAAGCTCCCTTTCCCGAGGACGACGATGAGTTTGAAATCTCCGAGAGCCATTTTGGGGAGACCGTGTGACTCGGGGACCATCTCAGAGCCTCTCCTCAGGTCGGGGATGCCCTCTGGGCGGAGCCCCCGTGCCCTGTCGATCCTCGTCTTCTTCTTGAACTCCTCTATCAGCTGGAGACATGACATCACATGTATGTGCATGTGTGTGTGTGTGTGTGATATAAGATAGGGCCACTGTTTTTCTCTTCTCTGTCTCTCACCTTCTCAGCCTCGCTGTCCTCAATGACGTGCTCATATTTCTGTTTCAAGTTCTTGGCATCAAGGAGACGGTACCAGTTTGTGACGGTGCTGCCTCCCGTACTCCACTCCACGATCTCTGGCACTGGGATACTGAACCCCCCGACCAGATCGTTGGCGGTGTAGCGGTCCCAGTCCCACACCTCCACCACCAGACGAGAGACCTCAAATGACGAGTCCGTCTTGTTCACATCACTGATAGAGAGAGAGGGAAGGGGGTTAAATAGTTTCTAAAGGGCCTCAGAATTAGGGATCAATGTCTGAATGGCTTGAGCCTCCGGGTGAGATGTGGCAGAGGAGAGGAATAGGCTGATGTTGTTGACATTTGATTGCAGGTAGGGAGTGGAACAGTTTCCACTGATGTTTAGGGCCAGCTATGGGCACCAACACCCACAACGACAACACACATTCCTCAATCCCTGCCAGCCTCACACACTCTCTCTCTCATTTCACTTTCACACATCTTTCACTTTCCTCTCACAATTATACACCCGGTCCATAGAAAAGACACTCTTAGTACTATGTTGTCTACGTGAGGGAGAGTGCAGTGGACTCACAAGAAGAAGGTCTCCTCCCAGACTGGACACAGTGTCTTGGCCTGTCGCTCTGTCTTCTGCTTGGCGGAATTGCTGGAGTCAGGCAGCATTCGCAGCTTCACGTAGGGATCAGCCAGTCCATTGGCGTCCATGGGGGGGAGGTTGGCTGCCTGGATAACTGGTAGAGGAGGGGGAGGGAGGGGAGCTAATAATTAATTTGAGAGATGCAACCCTAGCGTATACAATTTCTATAAAAAAAATACATTTTAGCAACTGATTGTCAAGTTACCACCCAGAAGATCCTTGAAATTTACAAACTACTTATCCGTTACTTAGCCCACTCACTGCCAATATGGAGTCTTATGTGTTGGTCGTCAATGTCTTCGGACCTGACGGTCATCTCGAGGCGACCTCGTGTCTCCTTGACCTGCTGGCCACACGTCTTGGGGACCATCTCGTGGCAGCGATGGTGGACACTGACTCCACAGTCAGCACACTGCTTCCCCTGCTTCATCAGACCATAGATGAAGGAGCCACAGTGATCGCACCATGTGGGGCCTCGGAATGACATCGTTTTGAACTTGTGTGGAGATGGAGCCTTGGGGAGGAGGGAGGGGAGAAAGGAATGCTGAAATCATGTCATTACAAGACCAGAAATAGCAATCTACAAACTAAGCATGCCTGGATAACAGCCTCTCGGCGTGCCCCCCACACACTCACTCCGTTGCCTATGTGAACATCTGGACAGATGAAAGACACGTAGTCCAGGCATCTCTTGTGCATAACAAAGTCACACACTAATGGAGGGAGAGAGGGAAGTAATGAATAATGCCACACTCTAGTACCATCTCCAAACTCACGTTTGCATTGGTATCCCTGCGGCCCTGTTACGCCCCTGCACAAACAAAACGTACAAAACCAGACCTAGCGCTAGCTCCAAGCTTCCATGCTAGCAGAGAGCTATGGGGGGCGTCGCTCACCAGAGGAAGCGGCCGCAGTGGCCGCAGAATGTGAAGGTCTTGAAGTAGGTGAGCACGAACTTGTGTCCCTTGACTTCCACCACGTTGGCCTGTCTCACGGCGTTTCTCCTCACGGGGCGCCGCGGCTCCACGTCCATGGATCCGTCCGCCATTTTCGTCCGCTTAAACTACCTACCAGCACCGCTCGACCAGCACACTCAACCTCCGGCAAAGGACTGGAACTCCGCGGCTGATGGTAAACAGAATTCATAGATACATGCCCCTGATCGCATATCTTCATCACCGTATTTCTATTTCCTGCCCCGCCTACCTGACAGGTCCCGTTCCCATTCCCCCGTTCCCCCAGTCCACCAGCGGCCATGACTCATCTCTACAACACGGAGGAGCCGAGCGTCATCAGCCAGGGCCTGCTCAAGAAGGCCGTACTCCAGCAAGGGCCCGAGGGAGAGGCCGGGAGGCTGGCACTGGAACAAGGCATCGATTTCAGCGTCGTCCGGAGCCTCCGCCTCGACTTTCAGAGTGAGGATGGGCGGGGCTAGTTACTACGGAAACCTAACACTTGTCTCCTGCAGACATCCTGCACATCGAGAACCTGTGGCAGTTCTCTAGTCTGCGGAAACTGCAGCTGGACAACAACATCATTGAGAACATAGATGGACTGGAGACTCTGGTCCACCTGGAATGGCTCGGTAGGGGGTCTGCACATGGCACCATAGCATGCTAGTTACAGCAGTGCTCTCTGTTTCACTGCAGACCTGTCCTTCAACAACATATCGGAGGTGGGGGAAGGTCTGAAGGAGCTGACCAGCCTGCGGGACCTCAGTCTGGCCCACAACCAGCTGACCGACATCTCCGGATTCAACACTCTCACTCGCCTCCAGTCTCTCTCTCTTGCCAGCAACAGACTAGCCCACCTCAACCAGGTCACACTTCTCTCTTTACATACCTTGTAGATAGTCGGTTTATCTGTTTGTAGATGTGTGTTTACACGAGTGTGCATGCACCCAGACAGACATCGTGTGATAAATGATGTTTTCAGCATAATTTTCTGACGAGTAGACCTTGCTATGTACTGGTTGTATCTGATGATTTTCACCCAACAATGAGTGCTGTGGAAAAAACTCTGTGTTCCTTAGCTACAACAGTAGGCACACAAGAGCACGCCAGGTTTCAAATATGTAGCCTTTGCCTGCAACAAACTTCAAAAACAGATCTTTGTTTTGTGATTGAGTATTCCATACTCCACGTCAGGTGAGTGGACTGAGACCTCTGTCAGCTCTTCAGTCCCTCACCCTCTCCGGGAACCCTCTGACCTCTGACCCCCACTACACCCACTACACCCTGGCCTTCCTCCCCTCCCTCGTTTACCTCGACTTCCACATGATCTTCCCCGAGGAGGTGGGTGGAGTCTGGTTCCCAGGTCAGATTGGACTGATGACAGGGTCCTCCCCTCCCTCCCAGCGAGAGGCAGTGGGTGATATGTTCTCAGAGGCCCTGGCGGAGGTTGAGATGAGTGAGAGAGAATTCAGTCGCAGGAGAGAAGAGGCTGAGGCTGAGAGACAACTGCAGGAGACATACAAGGTATATAGTATGTTAGTAGTACACAGATCTTCAGAGCACACACTGTTAATATCCAATCCACAATAACTTAACGTGCGAAGGCTGCTAAAGTCCGTGTCTGCAAAGGCTGCAAATATTTTGTGCCCACAATAATTTTGTGTGGTGCTGTATGGTATGAAGATGTGGTATGTTGAGAGTGTGACTGGCTGTGTGCAGGCGGCCTACATGGACGGTCTCCAGGGAACTGCTCTGTTTGACTCCATGTTTGAGGAAGATGGAGATGCAGAGAGGATCTCTCTCATGCCTGGTGTGCAAGACATGCTCTCTCAGTGAGGCCCACCAGCAGAGTGTGTGTGTGTGTGTGCGTGTGACTGAGTGAGAGGTGAACATTGGCTCTCTGCCCATCTCCTGCAGGATGAAGGAAGAGTTTCAGTTGTGTGTGGAGCACCTCACCAAGGTAACAGACCACACCCCCTGACCCCTGTGACCTCTCTCTCGGCAGATGGGGCTGGAGGAGAAGAAGAAGAGAGATGAAGAGGTGGCTTCGTTCCAAATGTTCACACCAGCAGGCGACTTCCTCCAGCCAGCAGAGATCAGTGAGTATTGTCACCGCCTTTGAGAGCAAGGTTGGCTCACACCTGACTGTCATGTGACCTCAATGACTGATCATGTGACCCACAGCTGGTACCAGGGGCCAGTTCTCAGCTGATATCATCATTGGAACACGACCTGATGAGAGAGGAGATGACGATAGTGGAGCAGCTAGATGTGAGGAGAATGAGAGAGAGGGTAGGGTGGACTGGAGAATGTGTGCGTTTCTACTGATTCAGGAAATAATCAGAGATTTCGAGAGGAACTATAGTGACATGGTCGGCAGTTTCTTCGAGACAGTTCAGTCACAGTATCCTCTCTCTCTCCCCTAGTTCTGAGAACTAAATATTCCGAGACCTGGTAACTCTAGAAGTGATGGATACCCTGACTGCTAATTACCACAGGGAGTAAAGGATTACCATAATTATAAATGACGTTTTTTCTCCGAATTACTAAATTTTAATACACCAACAATTTGTAACAGCTATCAGCGTTACACACCAAATTTGTACTTGGCCAGATAAATATGCCGTCACCAATCCACTAACACAGTACTATTTCACCATAAGCTTGTGCATAGTCTGAATTCCCTTGACTTGGTGATGTTAGCATGACTCAGCTGCGAGAACTGGAGAACACTCATCATGAGAAGGTCTCGGAGATGGCTCTGCAGTACCTGGAGAATGCCATAAAAGGCAGTCTGGAGGAGGAGCCTCCAGAACAGCTCAGGAAGGTCGGGATTGGTGCATGTGCTGTGGGACATTTTTCATAGTGGTTTAGGTCTCAGGTTTAGAAGCTGCCACAAGTTTTGTGTCGGGTCAAAAGCATCCATGATTGTATTTTTTGCCAGTGAGTGTGGGAAATAATGATGGATTCACCCCACCACAGTTGCTGGCAGACAAGGACACGTTGGTGAGTGCCCTCAACACCTCCACGACACCTCACTCCTTGCATCGACTCCAGAGATGCGATAGATCGCACAGAGGCCAGGCCGACCTGTCTCGGCGGCTTTAGGAGTCAATGGCTGAGCTGAGCTGACTCGCTAACGCAGCAAGGCACCGAGATGACGGAGTTTATGCCGGGCACAGAACAGAGGCAGGGACAGCCGTCCACCATAACTTTCTCTCTCAGAATACACTCCATATTCGGATACATCATTATTATCATTTTGCGCAAAGAAGGAGCTAACTAACTATCACTAAGTGCAACAGATTTGTGTCTTTCATGTATATCTTGTCATATAAGCAGTGTAATGATGCTACTAACAACACCGGTAAGGAAATCTTGGTGTACCGTCCACAGGGCTGTTAAATGACATTCATACAAGGGCTTAGATCCACTACCTATTGCTTCAGGTCTTATGCCTATGGATGTACAAATATCACTCCCCTTAGTGGTCACTTCCCCTTAGGGCGGATGATGAAAAAAGTACAAGAAGATGTTGGCCGCTCGTCCCCCTTATGGATGACGTTGCAAGCGCACGCCATGTATCCTAATAATATACAATAAAAGGCAGGGCCTCCGTGTTAACCTTTTACCGACCTCAGTCCTTTTTCCGTCTTGGCGTCCATTGCTCCAACTCTCCATGCACTTGCCCTGTTCCTGCTGGTCTGTTGTTGTATGGTAGCTTGACGTGGCTGAAGCTTTGTCCGGGGTCTGGAGGAGCGCCCGGGTGGTAGCTGCCCTGTTGCCCGTTGGTCTCGGGTTCGGGCGTTGGACGCCGGGCCCGCCCTCCGTCCTCCGCGCGCGCCACCTCTCAGCGGCCCTCGTGGACCGTGGTTGGGCTTGTCCCCCCCCACCACTGTCCTTCTTCGTCCGCCCGCTGGCACGGGACTGCTGTCCCTGTGCTCCTTTGCCCTTGCGGCGCAGTGCTGCCCCTTTGTTCCGTGCTCCGTGCCGTCTTCGCATCCTCTCCCCCGCCCGGCCGCGCGGTGTCCTTCTTTGGCGGTGTCCCCTTATCGGGCCCCCGTGCGCTGTGTGCCCGCTCGGCCGCGGTTTGTCCTCTCCCCTCTTTCCCTGGCTCGCCGCCTTCTGTTGGGGGCGTTTGGTGGGGGCCGGCTCCGTCCGGTGTCATACCTGCCCCGCCGCGTCGTCCTGGCCCACCGTCCGCCCACCCCACACCAAAGAGCGATCCACTGATGGCACCGTACTGCTGTGCCCTAGCTGCATCCCCCCCCCCTCTCCGCGGGCAGAGCCCCGGTCGTGTCGCTTTTGAGAGCCTGTGGTTACACCGGCCGGGAACCGACGGCGGGGTGCGGCGGGGAGTGGGATGGCATTGCCAGGCGGCCCCACACACAACAAACACCATAGGCCTAGTACATTGAAGCCCCACTGGAGAGACCATTAGGGTCTGGACACGACACCCGTAACCAGATTTCGGATACACACCTGCAAACCCAAATGATAACCACGAAAGAACCAGACAGAGCAACAACGCACGTACACGATCCCTATTCCTCATATCCACCTGACGAGGAAAGAACCAACAAACAAACACATGGAAGTTGACATTGACAGGCCACACTCCGCAACACCCAAGTGCCCAAAAACAGCAAACAACAGTGCACGTACCGAACGGACCTCGCGGCACATGTAGATGCCGGAAATATCACAACAGCCCGCACCACTGCACCCCACGAGAACCCCAACCTCAGATGATACATGTACTCACTACGAGCCAACCAAGACGCACGCTGTCCAATGTGCGCTCCGACGACAACCTCACAACCACAGAAAGACGCACACGTAACAGTAACCAAAACAACGCCCAAGATGACAACACAACCACAAACACACAATGTACACCAAACAAACAAACCCTGACAAAACAACAACACAAAGAAAAAAAAAAAAAAAAAAAAATGCACACCCAAAAAGAACCAGTTGGCTGTCTTCCATCCCTGCACCAATGGTATCCCCCATCGCAAGAAGCACCCCATAGCATCGCAACACCGATTGACAGGCAGCGGCCTGCGGACACACAATGGAGCAAACCAACCAACCCGGCATCGAACACTCCCCCTGCACACAGCCCCGCACGCGCAACGTGAGCCCCACACCAGAACCAACCCAACACAACCAGCACCCCCAGCACGCAAACGAAGCCACAGTGAGGGCCGATGGACCCCAAAAACACCCCCCCCACCAGCCTGCATGCCCACACACACCACACCATGCCCCCACGGAACACCCCCACAAAAGCCCCTGAACAACAGCAATCAACAGGGCCAACAAACACAACCCCCGAGACAAGCGCCCCACACGGCGGGGTTCTGGTTGGAAAGATACCCCGGTCTCCGGGGCACAGGACATACCAGGACGTTACCACCACATCACCACCACACTAGGTCAAAACCCCTGAGAACTCACAACCAACCCACAGCAGCGGACCAGAGCCGCGCCAAGAGACACATGGCGAATATTGTTGGCGCACACCACATATGCGGTGCCAGAGAAAACCAGCACGACACCGCAGCACACGCCTCCAAAACCACCCGACGGCCACGCACCACAGAGATCCAGCCCAAAGGACGGCCACAGTGTGCAGGGGCACAGCATGAGCCGGCGGGATGAT